CTCTAATGTGATAAAGTGCCCCGGGGAGAGCACCCCGAGGTCGTGGGGATCCGAGCTGGTGGGGCACAAAGGTCGGGAATTCAGGATGGATTCTACCTGTGCTAGGAGGGTACTGAATTCCTCCACCGTGAGGATCTGCGCTCCCACCACGCGTTTCAAGTGGGTTTTTGTCGCCTTAACCCCCGCTTCCCAGAGGCCACCAAAGTGTGGCGCGGAAAGGGGGTTAAAGGACCACTGGATTTGTTCTCGCCCTGAGGCCGCCTCCATGCAGCTGACGAGCTCGCGCTGAGCCCCCACGAAATTGGTGCCGCAGTCGCTGTAGATCCGCGAGCAGCGACCGCGCCTAGCGATGAAACGCCTCAGAGCCAACAAAAACGAGTCTGTAGATAAGGAAAAAGCAAGTTCCAAATGAACCGCCTTTGTGGTAAAGCAAACGAAAATGCACACGTACGCCTTGAACGGCGTTGCCCCGCGAGAACGACGATTATATACGAAGAAGGGGCCCGCGTAGTCGACCCCGGCGATTGAGAAGGGTTTGGCCTGACGTACCCGGTCGAGCGGTAGGTCCGCCATGGGCGGCTGCAAGGTCCGCGGGTTTGCCCGGAAACATTGGTAACAACGCGACAAACAACGTTTGATGGCCTGATGGGCCCCCAGAATCCAAAAATGCTGCAGTAGTAGGTAATGCAACGCTCGACGCCCCGGATGCAAGTGTAGGCGGTGGGTGCGCTCTACTATAAGTTCCGTGAGCCGGTGCTTACCGGGCAATAACGCGGGATGCTTGGCCTCATGAGATATTGCGGAGTGCGTGAGTCTACCGCCCACCCTGAGGACTCCGCGCGCGTCTACGAAGGGGGCGAGTTGTCGCAGAGGTTTGGAGCAATTTTGATTGCGTTTCAATCTATCGAGACCCTCTGCAAAGCGACAAGATTGAACAACTTTAACGAGATCTAGCAGGGTCGAATGGAATTCGACTTGGTCTACAACAAGAGTTCTGTGAGGTGAATTCGACTTGAGTCTATTAACAAAACGAAGACAATAAGAGAATATTCTAACGAGTTTATCCATTGACGAAAAACGATCGAGAAGCGAATCAACAACAGAAGCAGAGTTTACGACATCAGCAGGATTTACAACAACAAAAGCACGAGATTTTTCTTCCTCCGGAAAATCGTCAGTCTCCAATATCGTTTCTGGAGTGGGTTCGAATTCGGCGAGCCACGCAGGGCCGGTCCACCAAAGCTGGTGATCCACTAATTCTTGAGGAAACAAGCCCCTTGAGTAACAATCGGCGGGGTTAGACTTGGTGTCGACATGTCTCCAGCAAGAGATATCTGTGTTGGACTGGATGCGGGCCACACGATTGCGCACAAACGTCTTCCAACGGTGGGGGGCCGAACGTATCCAGGCGAGCGCGACCTCGGAATCAGACCACGCGTACGTGCCGTCGATAGTAATCTTAGGCCGGAGGATGTTCCCGATATACTCCGCTAAGTCCGACAGTAAAACGGCTGCGCAAAGCTCGAGTCTCGGCAAGGTGATGGCCTTAAGCGGGGCCACCTTTGACTTGGCGCTGAGCATTCGAATCAGTACCCCGTCCTCGGCGACGATTCTAATATATACAACGGCTCCGTAGCCCTGTTCACTCGCGTCACAAAATCCGTGTATCTCCCGTCGGATTATGTTGGCCATGGCAATAGTACGAGGTATGCGAATGGAAGCTAGCGCGGGGAGTTCCGATTTGTATCGTCCCCATCGAGAACATACTTCCGAAGGAGGTCTATCGTCCCACTCTAATTTGAGCACCCAGAGTTGCTGTATCAGTCTTTTAGCTGCAAACGTAAGGGGAGTCAGAAAGCCTAACGGGTCGAAAATACGAGCCAGTTCCGAGAGAATGGTGCGTTTGGTACAATCTCTGTCCAACGGGTGGACCTGAAAGCCGAAGTTGTCCGTTTGAGGATACCAACGAAGTCCGAGAACTTTGAGAAACTGATCTTCCGAGGATTCAAACGATAGCAATGATTGACTGCTAAGCTCTGGATCGAGACCTGCTAAGACTGACGGATGGCTGCTGCAATTTCAACAAGCAGGCGATTGCCAGGAACGGAGAACACGTCAATCCAAAAGTGACGGTCAACATCAAGTAGTCTAATATCGGATCATTCTCCGAGAAACGCCAGACTCTGGTAGTCACATTGACCGCGCTCGACCAAGATCCGAAGGAACATTTGTCTGACGTCCGCAGTGAGCGCCACGCGGCCTACCCGGAACCTCAACAATATCACGACTATATCCGTCTGTAACTTAGGCCCGGATCGCAATACGTCGTTCAACGAAACGCCGTTCAAATCCTTTGCCGAGGCGTCAAATACGACCCGCAATTTTGTGGTAGTGCTATCCGATTTGACTACCCCATGATGGGGCAAATAGAATACAGGTCCGTCCACCGGGAACGGCCGTTCAATCAGTTTCATATAACCGTTATTCAAATAATCCTGCATGAATTTGTTATAGTTCAATTTAAACTTTGCATCTAATTTAAAGCGACGCTCAAGTGCGCGAAATCTATTTAGGGCTACTTGACGCGTGCCGACAAAACAAGGTTTATCCCTTTTGAAAGGATACGATACGACTAAACGACCGGACGCGTCCCGACGCGTGGTCTGAGCGAATAATTCCTCGCAACGTTTATCCTCCTGCGAATACGGTGGGACCGATGGAATCTCGTCTAGTTGCCAAAATCGACTAAGAGATGCGTCCAACGAATCGAGAGTCATAAACGAATGTGTGGATCCCGGCGCCTGCGTCGATACCGAACCGACGAGAACCCAGCCGAAGACGGCATTGAAGGCGTCTGGTTCGCCCTTCCTTCCCACGCGACGGCCATCCCGAAGCAGCGACGCGAAGATTTCTGCGCCGATCAGGATGTCGATGGGACCGGGTCGGTGATACCGCGGATCAGCTAGCCGCAATCCGTTCAAATGTTTCCACGCTCTTCGCTCGACCTGACTGCTAGGTAACGGGGCGAAGATGCGCGGAAGAATCGTAGCCTCTACTGGGGTGCGCGTGCTTTCCCTGCCCTGTGCTTGTATTACGAGTGAGATGCGGCCTCGAGTTGCAGCCGCCCTTGTATCATTTACCGCGAGAACTACCGTATGGCACTTGGTTCGTCCGAAACCACCCCTCTGCATGCAACTTTCGGAGATAAAGTTTAGCTGGCTCGCGCTATCTAACAGAATACGAACGGGGAAGGGATTTTCGTGTGCGTCGAGCGCTTCGGCTTGTACCGTCGACAACAATACGATCGGGTTCGACCGCGCGACACTGGCCATGCTAACGAGGGGTTCGCTTCCCTGCGATGACGTTGTCCCCGATTCGGAGGGTGGTTCGGCGTCTGTGGGTGCATTCGCCGAGCCCGAGTTCTGCTCAAAATGCAGGAGCGTGTGATGTTTGGCCTTACACGACTGACACGTCCACGACGATGGACAGTCATTAACGCTGTGGCCCGCGCGGAGGCAGTTATAGCACAAGTTCGAAGCTTTAGCCGTCGAATGCCTCTCTCGGGGTGCTAACTTTAAGAACCGAGAACATTTTGCAACAGGGTGTTGTTCTTTACATACCGGACACTCGGCGGTTCGAGTTGCGAGCGACGAAGCCGACGCGGAATTCTTTGACGAAGTCGACTGAGACTTTTGCGACGTATTTTGTGAGCCCGATACCGACGCGAGAACCCGGCAGTGATCAGAGAGGAACTTTGTGAGCTGCGTGAATTTCGGTATTTCCTCCGCCCGGTGTTCAGATTCGAACTTCTCGCGGAGCGAGCGAGGGAGCTTCTCCAGCAAGAATTTGAGAAGGAGATAATCCCAAGCGTTTGTAGGAAATCCTAATAGATTCAATGCTCGCGTGTTCTCGGTGAAGGTGCTCAACAGCGTGCGCAGGGGGACGGCCGACTCCGACTTCAACGGCTGAGCTTTTAACATCAAGTCCACGTGATAATCCGCCAAGTCTCGTTTGTTTTGATATCGCAAAATCAAGGCGTCATAAGCTATCGCGTAGTTATCAGTGGAGAGAGGGATGTTCTTGACGACGTTCAGCGCTTCTCCTTTCAAGCAGGATATCAGATATTGATACTTCTCTATGGTAGGGACGTTCCGGTTCTCGTGAATAGAGATGTTGTATAACGCGATGAACGAGGGCCAAAGCGTGAGATCTCCCGAAAATTGCGGAAAGGAGATCTTGGGCAATTTGACCGATGACGTCTGGGCCGGGGCCTGCGGGGCCGGAGCGGCTACTCAGTCGGCGCCCACAAATCTCTCGTAACGCCCGATTACCGCGAAGCGCATCTTGTCAAAGTCCCGGCGAATCGAATCCTCCGTTTCGAACTCTTCATCTGAGGCGTTTTGTATTATCTTGAGGTGGACTGCCTCAAAGTCCTCGACCAATTTGGTCACGATGGGATATCGCACGAGAAAGTTCGGTCTCTGATTTACATTGTCCGCGGCGAGCATCGACAGCTCATGAATCTCCCGCATACGTTTCACGCATAACTCGCGTTTGGTTACATTCCCTTGACTCATGATGCCCGGAATACAATCACTAGGTCAACCAAGATGACGA